CGTTGGAATCATAATTATTGCCATCATCATCGTCACCCTTATCGTTGGAATCATAATTATTGCCATCATCATCGTCACCCTTATTGTTGGAATCATAATTATTGCCATCATTGTCATCACTGTCACGGCTGTAACTCATTGTTGTGCGAGTGTATGTGCTCTAACAAAATACCCGGTTTTTTCTGTTCCAGTCAGCATACTTAGACGTCATCAACGAGAGTCACATGCACTGTGTTCCACTGGGTATGTGTTTTTTACACTGTTTAGCTGTACTATAGAGGTAAATTAGTGCTTTCTTTCACTGAGTTCCACCGGGTATGTGTTTTTTTACACTGTGTTTAGCTGTACTATAGCAGTGAATTAGTGTTTTCTTTTACTGTGTTCCACCGCGTATGTGTTTTCTTAAAAACTGTGTTTAGCTGTGCTATAGTGGTGTGTGACTAGTGGCCTGGGCACTGCATTCATCTGCTTGTTTTTGTAAAACACATTTAGGATTTTGTTTTTCCAGTGGTATGTTTGTATTATAGGGTTTCTTGTGTTTGTTCGGGTACATGCTGTCGCCACCAGGAGGTGCCACTGAACTGACAATGTTCCTTCTTTCAGGTTCAGAGACTCACTTCAAGGTTGTCGTTGTATCGCAGAAGTTTGACGATCTGCCGCTGATAAAGGTGGGCTGGGACTGTGATCAGTGGTTCTCTCTATGTCACTGTATCTCTACCTCCTCTCGCTCTCTCTCTCTCTCTCTCTCTCTCTCTCTCTCTCTCTCGACCCTAATTAATTTTAAGATATATGTTAAAATTAGAGTGCCTAGGTAAACAATAGTCCTACAACCCTTGTCAGGCCAGCTGCTTCTCTTTAGGAGGCATTACAACGTAGCTCTAGCATTCTTTCACGTTGCAACTAATATGTCTGCGAGAAAAGGCCTTTTTTTGGCATTTTTTTTTTCGCAGTATTCGGCACATAGAGTGCAATAATTTGCAGTATGCAGCGCAAGGTTATGATGGCGTCGTGCGCGTCTAGAAGCATTAGAAGTAATTGGTCTTGTTGTGTATTGTGCCATTCCGCTAGTGGCGCGTAGCCATGGTCGGCCGGTCTGTATAAAACGGGATCGCACTTACTCTGTAGAAATTCGCTTCATAGAGGCTGGCAAAGTTTCGAGCGGAGCAATAGAGGCATTGAATCTGTAGTTATTTAACATGATAAGTCGTATGTTGGTAGCGCAGTAACCAGTGCTGAGTATTTTTATTATTTCTGTTCGATGCTTAGTCAGCCTGCGCATCTGGAGGCCGCTACTACTGTTGTTGACGCGCCTGTCGCCGCTGTTTTCCGCTGTAAATGAGCTTTTTCTGGCAAAGAAATCGAATCATTTAGTTTTATGGGCTAATGCAAATCAGTTTATGCAAGCTCTTTTAGCATGTTAGGTTGGACCAGCATAGTCAGTAAACTGACATTTAACATGCATTTTATGTAAAACATGTACGTATGTGTACCATATGTACATGTATATTTACCATCATCTACAGTTAAATACCTCTTTTACACTGTTGGTACGGGAGAAATAGATAATTTCCGCGTTTCACTTTTTCTTGGCACACCTAACACTAACGGTGTTAATAGTCGTTAACTTTTGTTGGCTTACAAGTTCACCTAAACCCTCGGTTCTACCACTGCGCTTAACAGCATGGAGGACATGAGAATTTTCATTGATTCTGTGTTTTGGGGTATTCAGGGTGACTATCTCAGGTCCAAGAGTGAGGCCACATTTTGAAATTCGGTCGCGCATACTAGGAAAGACTCTAAAGTTATTCATCTACAAAATTTCAAGTCGTCGTATCTCCGCTGCGTCGATTAAGTAGGCATACAAAGTAGAGGCTCCCGCAATTGTTTCACCGTTGCACTATGATCGGTCTCGTAGAAAATGCATTTTTAGCATGTTTCTTTTCGCAGTAATTCGGACACTAGAGAATTGCAATATTTGGCATGTTATGCACGCAAGTATGCATGCCCGGTTGAGCGTGCTAGAAAGATTAGAAAACATGGTCTTGTGTGTAATTGGCAATGGTGCCAGTCGCGCAGTTGCTTGTGTATGAAAGCGGGATCCGATACTGCTGTTAGAAGATTCGCATCATGAGAGCTGGCAAGATTTGAGCGGAGCATAGGAGCATGAATCTGTAGTTATTTAACATGAATAAGTTTAGATGTTGTGTAAGCGCAGTAACAGTGTGAGTAATTTTTAATAATTTCTGTTCGATGCTTATTCAGGCCTGCGCCTATGGACGCTCTACTGTTGTTTCACACCCTAGGTCTGCTGGCTGCATTGGAACGCCACTATACTTGGAAATAACACCAATTCTGGCTAAACGCTCGGAGGATTGGAGCGTAAACGACGTGTAGTAGTGGTGTAAAAGAGCGGTCTCATACAAGTAAATTTAATACAGGCTCGGGCATAGACCGGGTTACTATCTTTTCGCATTCGTTTTAGAGTCTATTACCTCATTTTTAACGGGATTAGAGACAGTGCTAGCAGCACCGGGCGCATTTGTCACGCAAAATATGGGTGGAAAATCCAACCCAGCTCTGACTGTTCACGTAAACTTCAGCAACACACGGCATCTAGTAAATTCGCGACATCTATGAATGAATATAACATATGAATATGCTAAGTATAAAGTCATATGGAGGGAGCGTGTGCATTCGGCTCACGACTGAAAAGCGTGTGATAGACGTGGCCTACTGAATGTGATATGACATAATAAGATGAACAGTCGGTATTAGAAATTATCCGTGTATTTCCATGTTAGACCTGTGTGTTAACAAAGCATCAACACGTAACTATGGCATGGTTATTTCTTTTGATTTCACGATAACCATATAATTCGATTTGCTCGTTTCTCGTTATCTCGTCATTATTTGGCGCCTCTGTCATACAATTTTCATACCCAACTCACGTCCTTCGTTTTCATTGGCTGTTCCGTCGCTAATTCCCTTCTGTATCTTCGATAGCTGCGATTGGACAAACATCAAAATTCAAATAATACCAGTGTATACGTTAGCTTGTTATTAGATCAGTGTTCAAGCGGATACAAGGTTATGTCACAAAGGTATTAAGTTACATTGTTAGGAACCAAGTTAATGATTGACATTAGTGATGCGACATATACTTGACAATACGGCGCGGTGTTCCGAAATTATTATAGAGCCGTTATTTAAATTGTTAAAGTGAAGATGTCTACACCATATATTTTGATATATATCATCAACATGTTATCTGGCGCATCGGCTGATCTCATTTGCTGTGCGCTCTGCTTTCCTTGCCCGACTCTGTCAGTAGAATGATCATTCCAAAACGCGTCGTCGTTTTTATTGTTGTATCCCTCCTGGTCCTGTATGTATGCCTTCATACTGCGACCGAACAACATTAAAATTGCAGGTAATAAATACACAGTTATACGTTTGTTTTATCGAGACATGTTCAACATATGGTTATTTCAAATGCGATTAGTTTACATTTTGAGACAAAAGTTACACATTTGTTGTTGCTCACACATTGGGTACTCATTAAAACATTAAAACCAATCATGTCATGTAACTTAAAGCGGTTTCAGAGCTTTCACAAAGCAATATCGTATTCAGCTCCACCCTGGCGAAGCTGGTACAGCGTTGAGTTGTATTCGTGGGATTCCACAGCTGCCCCAGAGTCGATGTGTGGCGGTGCGCTCGCGTGTTTCACTAAGCCAGCTGGCTGCTTACATGTGTGCGTCTAAGGTTCGAGATGTCTTTCTGCTTCTCTCATGTGCGATCATAGGGTGTCTTCAGAGCGAAAGGCTTAACTTTTATGTACAATTTGAAAATGAATTGTTTCTTCGTGTGGATTCTCATGTGTGTTTTCAGCATGACTCATAACGAAAAAGGAGAAGGCAGCATCAGCACCGATCAGCACTTATATGGTTTTTCTAGCCTATGTGAGTTCCCATTTTGGTGTTTGATCTTCACAGGCCCGTAACTGCGAAAATGCAGCATTCACAGCAGATCGCAACTTATACGGTTTTCTTTCCCGTGTGAGTGTCTCATGTGTGTCTTGCACTCACCTGAATTGATGAAGAAAGCAGCATCACAGCTGATCGCATTATATG